CCAGCAAGATAGCCATGCCCATGCCACACTGTGGCGAGAAGAAGATGAGTAGAGAGCTCTACACGCCCGCACACGGCAGGTTCCCCAGACTTTGGGCGTCGCCGCACGGGACACGAAACGGAAAACGAAACGGAAAACGAAATGAGTGAATCTTCCTGCAGAAAATGGCCAGGTTCATCGGTTTGCTATAAATAGTAACGAGTGTATTTTGCCACCTTTCGTGGGCAGATGCACTCGTTTCGTTTTCGTTTCGTGTGCCGTGCAGCGAGACCCTTTGAGCTGTTACCCCTCCCTGTTCCATCGTCTTGCTCGCCGAATGCAGCAGACCCTTCAAGACGATGTCAAAGCCGTGGAGTCGCGGTTCTTTTGTATTCCGCATCTCCAACCCTCCGTCGACTACAGTAGGCGAGCCGTCGCGCGACCCAGTTCTACAAAAGATGAACCATACCTCAGAGGTATAAGGTAATAAAAAACTTGATAAAAGAAATATCAAATATGCCCCCCTCGCATTGGATCGTGTCGTCGTCCGCGTTACACAAAGAGGCAACTAACACAATGTACACAGTGTGCACACTTCGAAACTTCAAACGCACAAGTCGATCGGCTGACGCTTCGCTTCGCTTTGCGTAAAACACTCGCGGGTTCGAACCCACGGTCAGTCGGCATCGTGCAGTGACACTTTTTTTGCAATGCTCAGAGCCATCAGCGATTCCACGGTAAAGTCTCGCAGACGGAGTGCGCTCACCGTGACTCGCCGGCCAACAACGTCAACGTCAAAATAAAACCGACCTCGCTTATTGCAGGCTGGAAGTGCCATATGTTCACCTCTCCAAATTAGGATGACTGGGGGACCATATTCATAGTGATTCTGAACTGCAATTGCGTCCAGGTGCATCTAGGAATGTCTTAGTGTGACCTTAGCGTGGATATGTTTTGAGAAGTGGACCTTATCCATTATATCTGTATTGGGCCCTGTTTAGCCCATCTGCCTTTCCCACCCAGGAGCAGAGTACCCAAAGACACACAGTTACTGCCATATTCATAGTGATTCTAGATTGCAATTACGTCCAGGTGCGTCTAGGAATGTCTTAGTGTGAATATGTCCTGAGAAGTGGACCTTATCCATTATATCTGTCCTGGGTCCTGTTTAGCCTAGCCCATCTGCCTTTCCCACCCAGGACCAGAGTACCCAAAGACACACACTCACTGCCACAATTGCGGTGCCAACGCCTCCCCGGGAGGACAGCCATCCACGCCATCCTCGTGGGGCTTGGATTTCAACAGAAAACCGCTCAACTTGCGCACGGAGCTCTTCGATTGAACCAGAGTTGTCGATGACAATATCGGCGCGAGCACGTTTCCACTCCAGTGGAAGTTGGGCATCGATGCGTTGCTGGGCTTGCTCAAGTGTGATGTTATCACGCGACATCAGCCGTTGCTCTTGAACACTCCTAGGGACCCAGATTACCGCAATGGGGCTAGCTAACCAGGTGAGGCAGGCCTCAAAAAGGAGGGGCGCATCCAAAACCGCAACTGGACTCCCCACAAGCCATAGCCAAGCAAGCTCTTTGAACATTCCCATGAAGATCGACGGCCACGTCGCCCTTCTCACACAGAAACAGGACGCAAAGACAACATCCGCAATTTCGTCAGTGACTTTCTGATATAGGGCCTAGTTGCACCACTCACCATCCGCCAACACTCAAGACTCGTACATGCGGTGCATCACGTGCGAGCGCGCAAGTTCATAGCGCACACGCACGCGTGCGCACGTACGTGATGCGGCGCATGTGTCCCTCCCTTTTGAAAATTGCAAGTGCACAGAAAAAAAAATAATAATTTGGGGCCACGGAGAACTCCTCATTGGATCTAGTGTCTTTTCCCGATGGTCCCCTGCAAATAAAGAATTAGCAGCGATCCGATGCATTTGGAAGTACGTTCTGCTGGACAAACACGAGCAGGCCAGCAATATGTTCTGGATTCGGATTAAGGTCTGTGTTCCAAGAGTTATGGGTTACGGACTTACTACAAACACTACAGTAGCTGTCTCGTTTTGTTTGTTTTTTTTTCCCCTTTTCTTACGTGCAGTGGCCCTAAGGCCCTAAGGGCCTCACTACACTTGCACAAAAGAAAAACGTACGGCTTGTATGGTTCCAGTTTCTAGGAGAAGATTCATTCTAGTTTTGCACATTTGGTGAGCAGTGGAGGGAAGCCCTGAAAATCACATGCCAAGTTAGTAAGTCAGTGACCCATAACTGAATTCGAACACGGACCTGAATTCGAAGCTACAGTGCTACACCATATATAGCTGGCCTTCTCCCTCCTTACTACAAGTCCAGCAACTACCCGTCTCCTGCTGACGAGTGCCTTGCTAGTTTTTAGCAGGGACCTGTTGAAGTACCGGCAGGGGTTTTCTGAATAATCTGAAAGGGCTCTTTGCTCTCTCTCTCTCTCTCTCTCTCTCTCTCTCTCTCTCTCTCTCTCTCTCTCTCTCTCTCTCTCTCTCTCTCTCGCCAACGTGTATACAGTGCTATACGCACATCATGGTTGCTGCTTCTTCTTCTTCTTTTTTTCTTTTTTTTTTTTTCTTTTTTTTTTTTTTTTTCCCTCGCACATCTGGGATCAGCGCATTTCACCTATGCGCTGCAGGTATGCTCTGAATGCATCTGGACAGGGAATTTTCCAGATGCATTCAAATTTCAAAAGCTTTACGGTTTCGGGTTGAGGGTCCAGGGTTCTGCTTTCATGGTTTGTTTTCAGGCCTTTGGGAAAAGGGCTTGCAGTTTTAGGGCTTTATAGCTTGAAGGTTTAGGGCTTTAGGGTTGTCGTCCATTTATAATTTCACTTCAGCCCTCTAGTGCTTAGGGATCTAGAGTTTTTTTCATGGTGTCAGATTTTGGAGTTCGGGGTTTTAGGGTTTAGGGTTTAGGGTTTAGGGTTTTCAGATCTGAGGGAATCTCAGGTTTACGGGGGGGTTGAAGTTAGCGTTTATGGTTCAAGGTTTTAGGGTTTTGGGGTTTGGGTATCGTTTTATTATTATTCGGATTATTTTAACACGGCTATATCCTTCTCTCAATTCACCTTTCATTACCTACCTACCAGGGTTGTCGAGCCCCGGCCCCGGGGCCCCGGGGCCCCGGCGGGGGTCCGGGGGTGGGCACCCCCGACCCCGGCTCCAGAGCCCCCACCAAATTTTATTTTTTTTAATCAAAAAAAAAATCACAAATAAAACTAAAAAATAGTGGGGGGTGTGCGGCGAGAACGTGCACCCCGTGGGCTAAACCCCAAAAAATGTGCGAGGATCTGGGTCCTCGGCAGGTCTAAAGGGCCCCTGCTGCATATGTGACCGCCCTAAGTGAAGGCGGGCCTAACAAATCACGAGAGACCCTCGACTGTCAATTTCGTATTCGGGGATCCAGACAGTTACGACGCGCCAGTTCATTAAAGGAAACACAGGCCGAGCAGCAAGAAAATTCCACGGCCTTCCTGGCCTTTCCGGAAGTGCAGACCCTGGGCAAGAATCGCAGCCTCATACACAGACAGTTGAGAGGCCCAACCGAATGAGGCCCAGTAGCCGCAGCAGAGGTGCAGCATACTGGGGCCTACCGGAAGCTTCTGGGCCGAGGCCCAGGCCAGCCAGGCCTCCAATCGAGGCAGGCTCTTTCCATATAGGAAAGAGCTCGCTGCCTGGCTGGTCATGCGGGCACTTGCATGCTAGCGGCAGCGCTGCTGGAGTGGACGCTCGCGGGCTGCGGCTGGCGCTGAGAGGCAAGGTGCGGGCACGTGCGGTCATCTGAGAAAAGGGCGCTGCTGAGGGCAGCGCCATTGCCCATCCTCCATAGCTAGGTGGGCTTGGTCTACAGTGAGGCGCAGGGGGTGGTCTTCGGGTGTACAGAAGGCGCCCGTACCAGACCATCGCCATTACCAGGTATGTGCCCTCACACCATCATCATCATCGTCATCCTTCTCTCTCTCTCCCTCGACATACACGGGTGTATGTCGAGGGAGAGAGAGAGAAGGATGACGATGATGATGATGATGTGAGGGCACATACCTGGTAATGGCGATGGTCTGGTACGGGCGACATCTTCAAGTACTTTGTTGGCTGCTGACGTCAAGAATTGCATTGTCAATTAGTAGGCTAGTAGTAGCTGTGTAGGGAGTAGGCTGGGCGCCGAGCGCCAAGTAGGGAGAAGAGCCTGGATACATGTGTTGGTGGTGCGAGAGCAAGCTCTCATTGACATTGGTTTCAGTGTTACGATTCTCCATTGGTGTCATATTGGTGCAATGCTGCTTCCTGAACACTGTGATACGATCTGGCTTTCAATGTGATTGTGCAATCTGTATATTGTCATCTCGCTA